TACTGTTGTATATTTTGTTCTGGTTAATAAAAACAAAGAAGAATTAGAAGAACCAGTGTACTGACAAAACATGCTACCTATCGGATTGCGCTACTGTTTTAAGGATAAATTTAGGGTAAGTGTAGGTGCGGATGGGTAGGGGTAGGTATGGACATTAAAAAAGCCTCAAACCACATGAATAAGATCTTTTTATTGGAAGGTAGCACAATCTGAGCGGGTAGCACAAATCATCAGGACACTGGCACGCAACGCTTCGGTCTGTGCAGTGCTGCATGAAGTCGTAATCACGTGATGATGCGCGCAGTGCAGCTGGAGGGCAGGAAGTGATTTTTCTCCATAGAAATCACTAGCAGAAACTCCAAATGCCAATGTTTTGCGCTGTTTATGGATGCTTAAATTGGCCAAACTGAGAAACCACAAGGAGCTTTTATCGTGTACGAAAATGTGTTGTTCATAAGGGGGGAAAATTCAAGAAATTGATTGAAAAACGTGGCTTGTAAACCTGCGGTCGGGAGGAGCGAAACTGGATAATGCTCGTGCGTGCAGATGGTTAATATAAGATAATATATTAATAAAGAAATATATAAATAGATACAGGGTGACACTGTCAGAATTCACTGAATGCTAAATGCCACACATAGACACGATGCAAATAAGATATTGTTTGCAGATCTGAGAGCTTCTTATCACGGAATCGTGAGATTGAGATAAATTGAAGTGAGTGACAGCTTTTTAGTGATTAACGTTAGATGAAAGCGCTATTTGCTCGCTTTCTAGGCAGGCTATAATCGATTCAGAATTTAAATAAAAGTTGTTTTACGTGCTGCTAACAGGACCACAGCCACATACCCTGTACATGCAGCACAGTTTCAGGAGTGACATATATCCCGCATCCCTCATATAAATACGGGATTCACTTTAGAAATAGCTTGTTTACAATCAGTTAGCTTAGCCTATATTCATCGCCTTAATGGCAGGCAAGTATTTCAATTTAGTTTAAAAATCGCTCCTCTTTATAACATAAGGATCAC